CAAGATCTTTTACTATTAACAGAATATACATTTATGTAAATAGGGTAGTTTATGTTCATTTACTCATTTGTGGTTACACTTACGTCACCAGGGTTACAGAGGTATAACTAAGGGCATGTCTATATGGTAGGATAATGCGCTTTATGGGGCGGGGGTGATTTCTAAAGTGCACTAATGTGTTGCACGTTAATTGGCCCATGTAGACTCTGCTGGTTTTCCAGCTCCCCCTGTGCTCAGTTCCCAAGTGCACTTTAATGTACAGTGGAGTCGCATCTTACGCGGGGGTTAGGTTCTAAAGTCAGCGTGTAAGGCGAAAATCGTGTATAGTCAAAATTACCCTTGAAAATCCTTTAAATCGCCCATAAAGTACAGTATACTGTACATGGTTTTGTGTATACTGTACAACCCCATACAGTAATATGTATAATGTATACAGTAATGTACAATATATAATAGACTACATATGCAAAATATGATTTTACAGTACTGTATTTTTAATTAAAGGGATTAATTACAGGGGGTCTTCAGGGCTTGATGTCAGTCCAGGAGACGGAGGTGACTGAGAGCTTGGGTGATGGAGAGCGAGTCGTAGATGAAGTGGTTGGCTCTGGTTCAGCTCAAGAAGTTGATTGCATAGGCTTATCTGCTGCTGGTTGTTTTTCCTTGAAAAACATGGTGATCGGCAACTGTCGCTGTTGTCTCTTGAGCTGCTCAAACATTTCTTGATACAGTCTCAAATCGTCTGTAATACTACGTGTGATTTTGAGGCTTCGTTCCATGGAGGGATCGTATTCAGAAATTAAATCATTCAAGTGTTTCGCTGCTTGGAACACTGCAGCAAATTTATGAAGATTCCAACTTGCTGGCTCTTCCTGTTCGTCGTCATCATCTTCATCTTCTGTAGATGATTTTATCATTTCCTCTAACTCTTCGTTAGTCAATGTTTCTCTATGGCTCTCAATTAATTCTTCAATTTCTTCCTCAAGGATGTTGACGAAGCCATCACCACACACTTGCCTGGCCACCTGAACAATGCGTTTCACTTCTTTGTCAATGGTTGGGGAAACCCTTAAAATCATTCACACATTCTTTCCATCGGTTTTGCCAACATGCATTGACTGTTTCAGGCTTGATTGCATCCACTGCCTGTTTAATATAAGTGATGCAATTGCCAATGTTGAAGGACTTCCAGCACTCCAACACATTAAGATTGGGATCAGCATCCATAGTGCTATGTATCCGTGAGACGTAAGCCTTGTGTACGTGGCCTTGAAACAGCGAATCACGCCTTGGTCGAGAGGTTGGAGGATGGAGGTGGTATTGTGGGGGAGAAGGACGACTTCAACATCGTTATGCACAAACCGGAGTGCCGCAGGGTGGCCAGGAGCATTTTCTACGATCAGTAACACTTCAAAGTCAAGTCCTTTCTCTTCGAGGTATCACTTGACTTCCGGAATGAAACACTTGTGGAACCAATCCAGACATAATGCTGCCATCACCCAAGCCTTTTTATTTGATTGCCAGATCACAGGCATGAGACCTTTGTTCTTGCCTTTTAGGGCATGGGGAATTCCAGCCCTGTAGAACAAGCCCGGCTTTATTAAATGCCCAGCCACATTGCCACAAAACAACAGTCACATGGTCTGTAGCTGCTTTGAAGCCAGGGGCTTGTCTTTCTGATTTTGAAATGTAAGTGCGGTTGGGCATTTTTTTTCCAGAAGAGCCCAGTCTCATCAGCATTAAAAACTTGTTAGGGAAGATAGCCCTTTTCTTCTGTGATTTTCTTTAATTGTTCGGGGTAGGCTTTTGCTGACTCTTCATTGGGAGATGCAGCTTCACCAGTAGTCTGCACATTTTTGAGGTTGAAGCAGTTCCTAAAACTGTTAAGCCAACCTTGGCTGGCTTTGAATTCCTTCTCAGCAGGAGGCTGTCCCCCTTCGGCGGGAGGTTTGAACAGTGCGTAGAGGCTAAGAGCCTTTTCCCGCAATGTGTTGCCATCGATAGGCACACATTTACGGTTCATGTCTTCCAGCCATAAGTTTAATGCCTTTTCAGTCTTCACTAAAGTCTTACCACGCACCTGGCTCGTCACCTTAACAGTTATTGGAGCACTTGATGCCACAGCTTGACGAATTTCTCTCTCTCGAATCTTGATGGCACGGATGCTAGATCTGTTGCGGCCATATTTACGCGCCACGCTGGAGACCGACATACCGTCTCTCAATAAGTCCAACACAGCCAGTTTTTCCTCCAGCGTTGGAACAGATTGCTGTTTCTTCGGTTGAGCACCAGATGAAGTAGTTGGCTTGCGTTTAGGGGCCATGCTGTACGAAAAATACGTATCTTTAAAGACTAGAATCACACTCAGAGTGGCGAGATGCTCACACTATGAGAGGCACGTGGGAACTGAGACCGACTGAGGGAACAGCAGATTCACGTCTCCCATCTCATGCTCACTGAGTGGAATGGTGGGTGGAATCGCCCGCACTATTTACAGGTCTTTTTTTTTTTTTTTTTTTTTTTCCGAGCGCATATAGTTGAATTTGTGTAAATAAAATGCACGTATGATGCGACTCACCTGTAGTATTGTTTCAAGCAGCATTAATTAAAGCATGCTAGCAGAGTCTATATGGTCCAATTAATATGCAACACGTTAATGAGCTTGAGAAATCATACCCCCATAGAGCACATTACCCCACCGTGTAGACAAGCCCTAACAGAAAATAAATAACTATCTAAACACATCTGAATGCAAAATATTTACATTCTCTGCCATTATTAGATTTCAGGTCTGCTGTAGCTGAGTTACCAACATTTACAGGCCATGATTTCACAAAACACTTATAGCGGGATATAGAAAGTCACCTAAGTGACTAAGGTGCCTAACTCCCATTGATCCCAGTTGAGTCTGCACCTTGACGTCTTTACCTCAAAATTTGAGGACTTCGTTAACTCAGCCTGAGGTTATGGGCCTATTACAGGAATAGGTGGGTGTGGCAGTTTAGCCTGAAATTTGCAGAAGGTCAGGTTAGATTATCATGATGGTCCCTTAAAGTCTGTGTATTTATGACCCTAGCCTGCTTAGGCACTGTTGATTATGACACTTTTAAGCAATTAAATTTAAGCATGAGTACAGTCCCATTCATGGCAAATTAACGCGTGTGCTTCAGTTCTTTGCTAGATCTGAGCCAAAAGTGAGTTCTACCGTGAAAAGCTGATGATTTCTGAGAGATTCCATCATGATTTGGTTAGCTCATGAGTAAAAAGATTTTTCTTTGAATTGCCAGTCACGTGAAATCAAGCGAGGACTTTAAATCAATCTGGATTCTTTCTTACACATTGGGCCAAATCATGGCTCAATTTAGACATTATGAAAGTGGTGCACAGATGTTTCTTTTCACAAATATTGTCATTAAGTTTTTTGGTAGGAATATTTGTTGACATGGTGAGTTTCAAGGTCATATTGCGGAATATTTGCTGAAAGCGAATTTCAAATATGAGAGGATTCATACCAGACACCGAACTGTTAAAATGATTCTCATCTAATCAGGTGACAGAAATGTACTGTGTTACTTGCATGTCCCACCAAATCAGCTTGAGTTTTGAATATTTTCAAGGAATTGCTTTGTGAACCACCTGTCATTGAGACCAAGAATTATTCAGCACGTAATTCTGGGCAATGGAGCCATTGGCAGAAGTCGTTATCCAGTTGCTGCTAATTTGTGAAAAAAATGAGAGGCAAAGTTTTTCAAATAATTAATGATTTGCACTTTATAATTTTCTGGGCAGGCCAGGGAGTAAAAATGTTGTCTATCATTTCTCTCACTGGGACAGTGCAAATGCAAGAGACCCATCTGCTGCTGTTCACTTTATACGGTTGCCCTTCTACTGAGTTAAGCCAAAGGAGAATATAAATAAAAACAAATGCTTAGTAGATTCTAATGCATCATAAACGCCTGTCTGACATCTATATTTATCCTGCTTCACGGATTCTGTAATTTACGCTTCCCTCTGCTTGTGCTTCATGGAGTAGCAAAACTTGCAAGATAGAAGACCAAAGCATGCTTGTTTCACCGATTGAAGGCTGCCTAGTGTTTGTGGGAGGGTGTAACCAATTTGTTTGAATAAACTGTTCATAAGATGGCACTTTGAGAGATTTGTAATCCTTATTTAATCAAACGTCGCCATAAAGACCACTTTTTAGGGCCTGGAAAGTATGGAGATGAGGTTTTTGGACAGAGGACCATTTACATGAAAAATATGTATACTGTGGTGCACCAAGAAAAAAGCAGGCTCTATCTGATATTTTAGAGCTTTACGGTGGGTTTCCCTCTATTTTACATTGTGATAGATTGCCCTGTTAGAGTCATAAAATGTGATTGTGCGAGGTTAGTTGGTTTGTCAAGCACCCTGGGGTGGAAGTCCCCTCTGAGCAGACAGCTAGCACACAGCCTGGGCACCACTGAACCCCTGTGTGGAGCTTTTAAATGATGCATAACTCTATAGCTAACTTTCTGCACAGGAGGGGGTTTTCACCCACAAGATATTTAAATTCTAGGAGGAAAAAGCTCAAGAAGCAATGTGGTCTAATAGACAGGGAACTAGATTGGGAGGCAGGAGACCTAGGTTGTATTCCCAGCTCTGCCACTGACCTGCTGTTTGGTCTTGGGCAAGTCACCTCTCTTTTACCTCCTACTCTTTGTGTGCCCACTTTCAGAGTATATCTTCACTGCAGGAAAAAAGGTGTGTTCTGAGCCCGAGTGAGCTAATTTGTGTGACAACAGCAGTGGAGACATGGCTACTCTGCCTTTAACTTGGGTTAGGTGCTTTGAGTCCCGCTCCAGACTTCCCTACAAACTTTAACTTGAGCTGCTAGCCTGTACTGGAAGCAGAGATGCCGTGTCTTCACTGCTGTTTTAACCTGGTGACTCCTGCCAAGTAGCCAGCTCTAAAAGGGTCCAACACTTAGAACAGGCACTAATCTAACTTCTGCTCCTCAGCTTGCAGGTCACTGGGGACAGGGATGATGCTCAGCTCCTGGGCCACCTCCACCATCGAAGAAGTTGCCCAGGCGGCTCCTGATGGCCTTCACTGGCTGCAGCTTTATATCTACAAGGACCGGGAGGTCACCAGGTCGCTCGTGCAGCGTGCTGAGAGAGCAGGCTACAAAGGAATCTTTGTGACGGTGGACACGCCGCTCCTTGGCAAGCGCTTTGACGACATACGCAACAAATTCCAGCTCCCCCCGCACCTCAGGTACTTACCAGCCTGCTGCTTTGGAAAGCCCATTTTCAGCTAGGACATATGCACCTGTTGCTGCTGCTCCTGCAGTGTTGTATGTCGTTTTGGGTTGTTCCCTTCGGGGCGGGTGGGGGGCAGGTTCTTCCAGGTTAGGTGCATCACATTTTCCTTTATGACTCAGGAGCTGAGCAAGCTTCCTCTGTCGTGCTCACCCCTGCCACCTCTAGGAGCGTACTTGAGACCAACACTTTCGTGTCAGTGGAAGTATTACAAGCGGTGGGGAGGGGGGAAGGGGAACTCCTCCTGATTAAAAACAAACCAATCTGGATCTTGCAGTGTAATGAGTTGGACTGGAGAAAGAGGATCCAGTTTCAGGAGGCACCTTGTTCAGTGTGCCACCAGGGGATCTGCAGAATCCACACTGAGTCAGGTTGCTGGCTCTCATCACATAACACTAGTAGCTCAGCGCACGTAGCGAAGATCTGTTTCCTACAACTCTTCCTGTTTGCTGCGTCACTTACTGCTAATGAAACAAGTCTTACCTGTGAGCCTCTGCGTGGTCAGACTGAGTAGAACATTTCTGAAACAGTTTGTCATCAAGGTAATTCCACAACTTGGGGAAAATCTGCTTTTTTCATCGAATTAAACCTGTAAAACCTTCTAAAACCAGAGAATTATTTTAAACACTGAAATTACATAATTCAAATGGAAAACACAACAAGACTTCCATGTAGCTTTTTGTTTCAGAGCCATAGGTGAAATTCTCCAGGATGATGCTTTTGTCAAGTTATCAGATAACTTTTTCTTGGCTTCAGACTTTCAACAAAGTTTCAGAGTAACAACAAGGTGCCATTGTGCACAGAAATGTATGTAAGACAACATTCATTCAAGCGTTGATCTGCATTTCAGAGTCCAAGAAAAACAACAGTTATTGCTAAAATCGGCTCCATGGTTCTGTTTTTTCCTATCCACCCCACAAACCAAGTGCTGAAAAGCTGGATCTTACTTGGAGAGGGGAGGGAGGACGCAGACTGTTCCCTTCTCATTTTCTTCTAATGCTACCATTAGAGTGGCACAATAAAAGCCTAAAACCAGGTGAAATTCAGCCAGTTTTAGGTATGGACAGAGAAGTGAAACCAGCTGGTTTCATGTGAAAATTGCTTGGTTCTTAGAACTGTTCATTGAAATGCAAAATGAAACTTCCTGCCGTCAGAGAATGGGCCCAATTTCTGAAAAGGCAGAGTTGTTTGGTAGATAGGGCATTCGAGTGGGCCACAGAAGAGCTTGGTTCTATTGCTGGCTTTGCCACTGGGTGACTTGGGTAAGTCTCTTGTCTATTAAGACAATGAGCATTTTGGAGCAGCACCTATCTCGTACTAGGTGTATATACAGCCCCTAGCACAGCAGGGACCGCTTAGCATCTCTGGGTGTTACCATAATCCAAATAACAGTATACGTTCTGGTATGGAGTGCCATGGATTTCTTTTGTGTTTCACAAGGAAACTAGAATCAACTGATTCAATGTCATGCTTGTTGGACAAATGAAATGATGAATCTTCACAAGGCTTTGCAAGGCTTAAGGACTGTGAAACCTCCTATACCCATATGCAAGGCACAGAGCTTAACAAAACCCAATGTGATCCCCCCCACCATTTTGGAATGCTAAACTGTACAATACTGTTCAGCCACTAGGTGGCACCATGTGCAACATCCCTTACTTGAGTTAGTGTACCATAAGCAGGAGTGCATTAAAGGATGGTTATGAAATACACACCTCTGGTATATCTCTCAGTGTAAGAAGCTTTGTAGCTGGTCCATATCTGGTATAAGAGCCTGATCTGCTAGTAGTAGCCCTTCAACCTACTGTGTACAAGAAATACGTGACACACCCCTCTTCATCTTACTTAAAAAAAACAGTGGAAGCTTCATTTGCTCAAACTTTCCAAAAATATTCACCTTCAGGCAGTGACCACGCAAGGAAAATTTCAGTCCAAAAGATATTCATGTTGTTGTAGCCATGCTGGTCCCAGGATACTACAGAGACAAGTTCAGCGTGGTGTTATTTTTTTATTGGACCTACTTCTGGAGAGGGGAGGAGTTAGTCCAATAAAAAAATAATTACCTCAGTCCCAAAGGTAAACATTTCAGAAAGTTATGTACAACTGTAAAAAGGGGTGTTTGAATGGAAACTGTTAAGCAACCTTCATTGTTAGCAATTGCTGCCACTCCCACTATAATGCTAATGAAGCCTTTGTGAGCTCATCTGATGCGCCAGCCTATGAAGATTGCACTGGGGAAATTCCCCTTAATATCCCTCTTGCTTCAAGCTAACTCTTGAAATGTAAGTGGGTTAACTAAAGCTTGGTCCTCAACTAAAACTTAGGCTATGTCTACACTTCAGACCTTACAGTGGCACAGCTGTACGATCTCCCTCTATGCCGGTGGGAGAGAGCTATCCCCTGACATAATTAAACCACCCCCAACAAGTGGTGGTAGCGATGTCGGCAGGAGAGCATCTACCACCGACATAGCACTGTCCACACTGGCCCTTTTGTTGGTGAAACTTATGTCGGTCAGGGGTGTGTTTTTTTCACACCCCTGGCCGACGTATGCGCTAATGTAGACAAAGCCTTAGGCTGGCCGAGCTGTGAGACATTTAATGGCCTGGGCAACATATTTAGGTTGACCGAACCCACACTGTATCTGCAGCTAGGTTGAGGGAAGAATTCTTCCATTGACTTAGCTATCGCCTCTGAGATGTGGATTACCTACATGGATGGAAAAAAAACCCCTTTCCGTTGAGGTAGGAAGCATCTACACTACGGTGCTTCAGCGGCACAGCTGCAGTGCGATAGCAGCGCCACTGTAGTGTAGACGGGGCCTCATTGTCTACACTACAGTGCTGTAGCTATAGCTACATGGACGTACTCTTAGAGATACCTATAGGCCAGATCCACTGTATGAAATCCTGGCTGCACTGAAGTCAACAGGCGTTATGCCATTGACTTCAATGAGATCAGGATATCACTCATTGTGTTTAATGGGCTTTGGATTAGGCCCTAAAGGAGCAGCTCTGGTCCAGCAGAATGAGCATCTATCTATTTTAGGTACTTATATGGGCCCGGTTACCATAGTATCTGTGCTCCTCACAATCTTTCCTGGATTTATCCTCACAATATCCTTGTGAGGCAGGGTCATGATGTTATCCCCATTGTACAGATGGGAAACTGAGGCACAGAGAGACTTGGTGACTTGTCCAAGGTCACACAAGAAGCCTGTGGCAGAGAAGGGACTTGAATCCACCGTCCTAACCACTGGGCCATCCTTCCTCTTCATAGGTTTTATTCCTGACTTGCTGTTGGACTGGGGCCTGATCTTCCCTTGAAAGCAAGGGGAGTGTTGTTATTGACTGCAATGACAGTAGTATAGGCCCTTTGTATGCAAGCTATGAGACACATGACTGGCCAATTTTTTTTCGTTGATATCGAATACTACCCTAAATGCTAGGATATGTGCCTTTGCTAACTGTGTATGATGGGGTGTATCTGAGGTCCCCTGCTGGAGGCCTTGCTGTCCTACCACACCGCGTCCCAGAAAAGGAGCAGTGGAGGTGACTCCTCCAGGCTTCCTAGAGTGGCTGCATGGAAGCAGCCAATTAGAGAGAGGCTGCAGGGGTAGTCAATCAGAGCCCATCAGGCTACTATAAAAATCAGCTGCTGGACAGATCAGACCAGTTGCTGGCTGGAGCCTGAGGAGCAAAGAAAATGCTCCTGGCTGCATTTTCCAGGCATTTCCCCACCAGCCACAGGTGGAGTGGCCAAAGCCCTGGAGAAGGGGAATTTACACAGGCCCCAGGGAGCTGGCTGAAGACCCCAAAGAGGATCAGCATTTGTGGACTTTGATAACCCCCTGGAAGGGGACTGAACTAGTGGCTTAGCTGAAGAGCCAGGGCCAGTGAGCCTTGCTACCGAGCGAAGAGTCTCCAGGGAGGGAGTCCTGGGGGCACTGCTCTATAACAGAGCAGGGAGTATTGAAAGCTAACCCAGAATCCGCTGAGAGACAGTTGAGAACCAAGCCCAGAGGTAGGGCGAAAGAGACAAACGGAGGGTACTGGGTTAGGTCTAGGTTAGGTTGGACTGATTAAGGACTGAGCCCAGGGACAGGGCTACAGATAAAGACATAGTTAACGGCACTCTGAGAGGCCCTGTTAGACTGTGTACCCCAGAAGGGGTTGACTTGTGTTGCACACCTACAGACAGTGTGTGACTCGGCTGGAGGGCTGAGTCACTGAAAACCTGCTTGAGAAGTTAACAGCCCAACAGGTGGTCACTGCAAGTGACGCAGCTAGAGAGAGAGGAGGATAGGAGGCACTCATGGGAGGTGACGGCCCCATCACACTGTGCAATATGAGGCCCCGATCCTGCCATAAGATCTGTACCAGTGAAGGGATCTGCTGGCATGGAACTCATTGCAGGGCGAATGTGGGTTTTGAAATGTTTTTTTTTCAGTGTCATTTTCTTTTGTCTCTGTGTAATGTTAGAATGAAAAATTTCGACACCAACGATTTGGCATTTTCCTCCGAGAAAGGCTACGGTGAAAATAGCGGACTGGCTGTTTACGTAGCCCAAGCAATCGATCCGTCCATCAAGTGGGAGGATATTACATGGCTCAGAGGACTGACATCTCTGCCGATAGTCACTAAAGGAATTCTCCGAGGTTTGTAGCAGTGAAGGTTCAGCAACAGGTTCTCGTGAGGCTTCTTTTATTTAAATCAACCGCTGATAGAAAGAAACACTTTTATGTTGCTTTATTGGACAGATTTTTCTGTAGGACTAAATGGCAAGAATGTGTGCATAGAATAGATATAGCGTGTGCATGATTTTCCTTTATCTTTTAAAAAATATTCTTATAACGTAGGCCACTGTAACTTTAAGCATATGCTGAAATCTCATGGATTTTAATGGGGATTACCTGCATGCTTCAACGATCTGCTGAATAGGGAGGAGTTGCCCAACTGGAGCCTTAAAAAAACAGCTGAAACAAATGGCTTCTTCTTCTTCTTAACTGGGGGCTGGCTTGGGAAGTGCTAACTTTCTTTCCGTGTTGACCGAGTTCAATGGGAGTTGAAGGGCGTTTTCTCTGCCTTTCTTTCTCATGTAAACTATTCTATGGCATGCCTCATTGTGCTATGGGAGTCTCTCCCAATGCTATGAAGCATACACAGATTTTATATTGCTCTGTCTCTTCCTCCTGGTCAGCAGGGACTGGACGTCATTATTTTTCCAGTTGTGGGAAGGCTAGGGCAAAGATGTGGGTTTTGTAGTAAACACTGAAGGCATTGTCGGAGGTCTTTGATCACCTGGCCAAGAGATGCTCATCGCCTTCAATGATTGGGCCCTAGGAGAGTGCAAGCTAACAAAAATTATATCCTGCTTCTGCATCGCACAAACCAGCGAAGCATGGTTTTTATGGGCTTCTGACGTCAGTGCAGTTACAGAGGTGTAACATGGGTAATGGCAGAGAATTAGAACCAGGACTGGCCTCCTTGCATAGTTACAGACCATCTCACCAGTACTATTAAGCATTTACATGGTATAGAATTTTGTGGACCTAATTCTGATCTCACCTATGCTGGTGTAAAGTGGGTGTAGCTCCCTGGAAACCAATGGAATTAGACCAGTGTCAGTGACGTCAGAACCAGGACCTTAGGTAACTACTCCTCACATTACTCTTGCAAGGTAGGTAAGTGTTATCACCACATCGATGAGATGAAGAGGGCTGGGTTGTGCTTTTGCTCGCGCAGGTTTCCGATCACCGTAACTCTGCTGACCTCATTGTAGTAACTCCTAATTAACACCAGTGTAAGTAATTGAATCAAGTATGGAGACGTTGTGGCTAGCCCAAGGTCTCATGGCAAGCTAGGCACAGAGCCAGGACTTTGCATTTGTATTTCCCTATTCCGAGTGCTGTCCCGGGTGCTCCAAGTCACACTGCCTCCCTGAGAGACCATCACCACCTGCAAACAAATCAGTGATGTGTATGGGACCCTTCACCTCAGCTGTCTTCATGTACTGCACTGCAGACTGGACAGCCAAAAGTTGGCTTTGAGTTATTAACTATTGCAGTGGCACTTAGGAATGTCATTCATGGGGTAGAATCCCATTGTGCTAGGTGCTGTACACACACACACAGAGCGTTGTTCTGTGTGGAAATCAAGTTTGTATTGCTTTGTGCATATCCCGTACCCCATGTATAATTGCAACACAGTTCTGCCTAATATCAGAGATTCTTACAGCTCATTTACATGCATAAGGGAAGGGTCATTGTCCTGTGCACTTGGAGTCAGGATACTTGGCTTCAGTTCCTGACTCAGCCCCTGTCTTGGTGTTTGAGTAAGTTGTTTGACCACTCATATGGTTAACCCATCTATAAAAGGTGAACAGTAATATTTGCGGGACATAATTAGCATGTGGAAAGGACTTTGAGATCCCGTTAAAAGATTTGTGTGTGTGTGTGCATCCTCAGATACTATGGTAGCGGGCACCATATAAGTACGATCAATAGTTTTACATGTTTACCTACTTTAATATGTCAAACTCGGTATAATTCTATCTATAGTACTTATAATGGCCCCCAGGGCCATGGGAGCTGAGCACTTCACAGTCTTTAATATATTTATCCTCACAACAGCCTTGTGGGGTAGGGAAGTGCTATTATCCCCATTGTACAGATAGGGAGACCGAGGCACAAAGAAGCGTTGGGTAAAATGTTCAGAAGTATTTATGTGACTTAGACACCTAAGTGCCTGTGTCACTTAGGTACTCAGTCCTATTGATTTCTGATGAGACTTAGGCTCCTAAATCCCATTTTCAAAAATGACATAGGCACTTAAAAGGCTTAGTCATTTAGGGTCATATTTTCAAAAACGCCTGAGTGACTTGACCAAGGTCACTCAGTCTGAGCCACAGCAAAGACTGGAATCCTAAGTCTTAGACTAGGGCCCTAACCATTAGACCATCTTCCCTCTGTCTAAGTTCTAGAAGACCCTCATTTTCCATTTTAACTGATATTCCCAAATCAATACAATATTCCATTTTCCATAATTGTATAAGCATTCATATGTTGGCATTAATTTAGGGTGAATCTGAAATCAGCTATGACAGGAAACGGGAACAAACGGACGTATTCTACCCATGGCATGTACAGACCCAAGCTCAGCTCTGAGTTATACTCTGCATGTGTATAAGTGAGAATGGGACTTTTTTTTGTTTCTTTCTGAAGCTTCTGTAATCAATCAAAAGCCAATTGAACCTAGTGAAGTGATTACACACTGTAATGATATTAATAATTTCAGACTACAGTAAAACTCACCGCAGCAGGATTGTCTTACTGATGATGAACTGCAGATCAGTGTGATGAAAGTACATGCCAGCCACCAGAAGAGATCAATAACTGCCCACTCAGAGCTACTTACCTCCTCCAATGTTCCAGGTGATACAAATGCTAACTTTAATTCTGGTCAGGCCACAATTTATGGACACAGCTGTCCACAGGCTGGTACAAGGCCCAGCTATTAGAAGCCAGAGCCCTGGGTAAATTCTTATTAACAGAATATTTTTACAGATGCTCTCATTTCTACATGGACAGCCCTAATAAACTGCACTGTCTGAAGGGCTGACTTTTGTTTCTTCCAGCTGATGATGCTAGAGAAGCTGTGAAGCACGGTGTAAATGGGATCCTGGTGTCAAACCATGGTGCGCGCCAACTGGATGGTGTGCCAGCAACTGTGAGTATTGGTGAAACCACTTAGGAATGGCACTTGAGAATCTGTTTAGTAACTTTAATTGCATCTACAGCTGCTTGCTAACTTGTTCTCTCTCTCTGTCTCCGTGTCCCCTGCTCCCGCCCTGCCCCTTTTAAGTTGCACATGTGGTTACTGGAGAGGAAACATGTAAACGTGTGCTATATTTTTTAAGCTCCAATGGGCTGTTTCTTTCAAGGCCCCTTAGAATTTCACAACGTGCATGTAGGCACTCGTAGCCTCTTACTGGTGTGTGTGTGAGGGCAGCCTGTGGATTTCTTTCTTCTAAGAAATCAAACCAAAAGCCACAGAAGGATTAACATGTGGGCTGTTGCCTCTGGGAACCTGGGCAGCCTGCCCTGGCTGCAGGGCTCAGGAAAGCAATCCAAAGGAGTGGTTTCAGGTTAGCTCATTTAAGAGCCCAATAAAAGGAGAAAAGTAGTCCTTGATGCCCTGGATAATTCAAAACTTTAACTGCACTAGGAGGCACAAGTGAGTCCGTGTCTTCTGACACGTTGAAACAATGTCTTACTTCATGTTACCTGATGGCAATACAACACAGCGGAATGTGGAATAAATAATATATCAGGAGGCCAGAGGTGACATCTAAAGAATTTGTTGGCTGGATTAGCCAGGATGACAAGCCAGCTATAGCTGAATTAACTCCGATATCTCCACTTTACTGTAAGTAGAAAGTCTGCATTTGTTTGGGGGTTGAGCTTTAGTGAACTCCTTTCCGCTCCCATCTGTCTCTGTTCCCGCTGATGTCCATGAGCCCCCAGTCTTTGGCGGTCTTCCACTTACATTAAGAATGGTAGGGCCCAGCAACTTCTGTACTGTTACCTTCTCCTAATCATACCAGTTAAGGATGGAGGCCTGGAATTCTGGGGATATTATGCTAATTAGGCAATATTCTAATGTGCAGATTTGAATATGCATTTCCTCATTTGAATAAACCTTCCTACAATCAAATCTATCAAAGGTCTACTACTCACCACACCTAGCTTTCCTCCCCTTTGAGTTTCTCTACCGTTTTCCCCCATTCACCCTCTCTCTGGCTCCTTGCTGCTTGAGATTCCTGAGCTCCTGAGAGACTGTGTGAAAAGCAGGAGATTCAGGTGGGTGGGAGAGGTTGCCCAAAATCAAGGGTTTTACAGGAAACCAGGAGTCTTAATAGAACTGGATGAAAATGGGAAAAGGAATTGACAAAAAAGTTCAAAGTTGTTGTGCAGGATTGGATCAATACAACAAAACTTATTCCCCCTCACCCCGCAAAATGTATGAAATATTATTTCAAAGTTTTCTGAATTTTAAAAATTTAGAAATTCTTAGTATTTGTATCCAGTTTCCTCCCCAACCCTCCTTTTTACCACCTAGTGCAATAAATTGAATCATGTCCAGACTTGTCCCCACCACCCCGTCTTTTCCTTTTGATACACTATAACTTTTCAAAACCTACTGGCAAGCTATGAAGCAGCAAAAGGAGAAATGAAAATTGCAAAGTCTGCCACTGTGACTTTTCACTACTTCTCCAACTTTGGAAACCTTACAGAGTCGTTGAAGCCAGGTCTACACTACCACTTACTTCGGTGTAACTTACATCGCTCAGGGGTGTGAATAAGCCACCCCCTTCAGTGACGTAGTTACGCCTACCTAAGTGCTAGTGTGGACAGCGCTATGTCAATGGGAATAGCTTCTCCTGCCGACATAGCTACCGCCTCTCACGGAGGTGTATTTATTATGCCAACGGGAGAGCCCTCTTCTGTCTGCACAGAGTGTCTTCACCAGACATGCTACAGAGGTGCAGCTGTGCCAATGTAGCGCCCCTTCGTGTTTCATTTTTTCTTTTGCTGCTCTGTAACTTTGTAACTTTGAAAAGATAGTGAGTAGAGTAAAAAAGAAAAGATGTTTACCTGAGGTGAATAACCATACAGCTAGTACTCAGTCATGCTTTTGCATTCAGTGGCAGAGAAGAGTAATTGGGGAAATTGTTGCTTTTGATAAAAAACTGGAAAGCTTGATACAAATGTTTTCACAATAGTTCTCCGTTCTGAAGCACAAGCTGTTTTTCACTGAAAAACATTTTGAATGAAAAATTTCCAGTATTTGTGTTAGAACATCCCTTCCTTCCCTTAGAACCCTTCAAGCTCTTCCTTCCTTTCTTCCTTCCTCTCTGGGGGACCTGCCAATTTCCACCATTAACCCTCCTCCCTAGATCCTGCTGGTGTTACACAAATGACCTTTTGCTAGTTTCCAGAAGAAAAATGATCTTAGCTCTCTATTCCAGCTATGATCACACGTGTTTCCTAAATGTTACAGAAAGCAAGGAGTCAGCCTCTGATTGGCCCTAGCTTGGCCATGTGTCTCAGGAAGACCAAGGACTACTGATGATGGTGGGGAGGGAGGAGGAGGATTGGGGGAAGACAGCCATGCAGTGATACTCTCACCCTGGGAGAATGTGAATATGTCAGCTGGCAACTTGGCTCAGTTTTTAAATGTAAGGTAGGGGGTCAAAATTCTACTCTCAGGTCTTTCAGTTCTCAGATGTTCTCTGAATACTAGTGTGGCTCTCCCATGACATCACAGTAGGAAACTTACCCCTATAGGGAGAGAAGAAGATGCTTTGCGATAAGTCAGATGAGCAGAATTTAGTACTTGTCCCTTCCAGCTAACTTATGAAATTAGATTGGAGTCAACAATGGGAAAGCATTTGTATGAACATTTGTTTGCATTCAAAATGAAATTTAACTGTGATCATGACTTTTTAATATTTGCTTTCTGCAAACATTCACTCGGTCTGGCTTTACCATCTTGAATGTTTGCAGACAGCAAATGTCAAATGATATACTTGATAGTAAAATTCCAAATTTGCATGGTGTCAGGCAGCACTTAAGACCCTCAACTGGGGAACTAACTATTACCATGTGACTTGTGTTTACTAACCAGTGCTGCATGGATTCTGAAGTGTAAATGTAAAAGAGGATTTGCAGTGAATTATCACTAAAATCTTCAAGAGTGCCTCATAGACTTTTAAGTCAAAGTCCCATTCTCAAAAGTGACCTAGACCAAGGTTTTAAACATGTCCAGTGATTTTTGGTAGCCTCAATTTTCAGGTACTCAATTTAAGACACCAAAAAAGGCCTGATTTTCAGAGGGCAAGGGCTCAGCCCTTTCTGAAAATGAGGATCTCTTTTTAGGTGGCTGAAGCTGAACACCCAAAAAATGAGGCACATCTGAAAATCTGCTTGCTCACTTCTGAAAATGGGACTTAGATTCCTAAGTCACTTGGGCACTTCTGAAAATTTTACACTGTATGTGAGAGCTATTCTGAAATAAACAATTCATGAGGAAATTAACAAATGATTTTGAATAATAAGGAAATTCAAGAATTTTGACATTTTGCCAACTGAAATAAAGGAAAAATTGAACTGAAAACTGTATTTTTTACAAATTATTTGCTTGTAATAAGTTAGTTTGGAGGAGAAGAAACCGTTAAGTTATGTATTTTGAATGTTTGGTCTGTTCACTGGATTTCATATTGCTACAATGGGGTATATTTTATATTACATTTTTCATAATATATATTTGTACCAGATCATAAAGTGTTTCTGTTTCTGCATCATAATCACATGCTTTAATTTGGATGGGTTTTTGAAATGTGAGTTGAACCCAAACTGGTTAACATTTCCTAATATCTAATTACACATTGAGGAAATTGATACAAACCATAATTAAAACATTGTACTTTAGTAATTACAGCACTTGTATGGTGGTGCAGTTTGCTTGGATGTAGAAAGAGGGAGATGTTTTGATCCTTTAAAAGGGAAAGGAATTACATCCCTGTTTGAAAAGGGATAATTTGGATCCCTGCTTGCTTTCCTAGAGCGTGATATTTTCAGCCTCTTTAGCACTTTGCTTCTAATCGAATATCTCTCCTGCTTTGCTGAGATAGTAAAAAGTTCGGCATGACAGGAAGGGTGGTCCTGCAGTTAAGGTACTAGTCTGGGACTCAAGGCATCTTGCGTGACCATGGGCAAGATACTTAATCTGTCTCTGCTTCAGTTCCCTGTTTGTAAAATAGGAATAATCCCCTTTCTTTCTTCCATCCTTTCCTGTGGTTAGTTTGATATTAAGTTGGCTGGATAGTGAGTTGGTTGGAAATTATTCCAATTGAATATTGAATATTGAATTATTCCGCCCCCTGCCCCCCCCCCAAAATTAGACAAAACCATTTTTTAAAATAGTATTTCAGATTTTAGGTGAAATACTGAAAATGTTTTGGTTGTCAATCAATGCCGACATTTTCCTCACAAAAATGGAAAATTGATCACAAAAATATGTTCACTGAAAAAGCCATTTTCACTGGAAAAAATCTTTTGTTGGAAAACTTGCTACCAGCTTTAACAGTAAATTCTTCAGGGCAAGGGCTGTCTCTTGCTATGTGTACGTACAGAGCCTGGCACAATGGGATCCCGATCTCTGATGGGCTATAACACACACAAATGGTATCATGCACAGGAAACTTGTATATGTAGCCATTGTGATTGTACATGTAAAACAGGATCTTTATGTATGCCTTCTAGCACAATTAGAGAGACAAGGTGGGGGACGTAACATCTTTCATTGGACCATCTTCTGCTGGTGAGAGAGACAACCTTTTGAGCTTGCACAGAGCTCTTCTTCAGGTCTTGTGGATCAGGTTCATTGTGGCTGGTCACTGGGCTTGGTAAATCACCATACCACACTGTGCTAAGAGAAAAATGAGTTTAATCTGGTTCTAGATTTCATTATGAAAGGCACATACAGTCCTAACCAGGACCTTGCTTTTATGTGTAATGAGAAAGACAGCACCTTCAACAAAGTATCCCCTAGCACTGCACTGGATCATTACTAACCTCTGCCTACTAGTATGGTTAGTCACGTCCATATTTGTACACACAACTGCATTATTTGTGCACATACATTAGGCACAAAATTCATGCTTATCTTCATTAAAGACTGGTTCCTACATGTGGCAGTTCGCTTAAAAATTCAGTAGTGTCACATGTGACTGAATTGCTACTGTCCTGTTCTTGCTTTCCTAGATTGATGTCTTGCCGGAAATTGTTGAGGCTGTGGAAGGGAAGGCAGAGGTGTTCCTGGATGGTGGAGTGAGAAAAGGCACAGATGTTCTCAAGGCATTGGCTCTTGGTGCCAAGGCAGTGTTCATTGGAAGACCTATCATCTGGGGGTTGGTTTATCAGGTAATTCATCAAAGGCTGCAGTCCAAATTTTGACTATTAGACTAACCTTTTAGACATGCATTAACATTCAAAAAATATGACTAGGGTCTGTTATGGGTGCAAACTCAAGCACATGAAATTAATGAAATGCCAGAATTAAGATTGTCCATGAAACCTTAATTCAGCCCCCTGGTGCGTATATATGTTGTAGTACAATGTATTGTCTTCCAATCTATTAGGGTGAAGAAGGAGCAAAAGAAGTTCTCCAGATGCTGAAGGAAGAATTCCAGCTAGCAATGGCACTTTCTGGTGAGACACCAGCTTCCTTTCCATAGTCACACTCCTTCTCTGGATGCTGTAATTGAAAGCATTATTTTCAGTTCAGATAGGCCAACCTGTGCTCGATTTAATCTAGCTAGTGAGGCTAAAATAGCTGTGAAGATGTGGCAGCATGGTCTTCAGTGCAGGCTGTACAAGCCCGCCTGAGTACCCAGTCAGGTAGGTAACCTGTGCTGGGGGTCAGTGGCACCATGTCTTCACGGCTGTTTTTAGCAGCACTGGCTAGATTAAAGAGGGCAAATATGGTGCCCGTCTATAAAAAGGGGAATAAGTACAACCCAGGGAATTACAGACTAGTCAGCTTAACTTCAGCATCCGGAAAGATAATGGAGCAAATAATCAAGCAATGAATTTGCAAACACCTTGAAGATAATAAGGTGATAAGTAACAATCAGCATGGATTTGTCAAGAACAAATCCCATCAAACCAACCTAATAGCTTTCCTTGACAGGGTAACAAACCTGTGGATAGGGGGAAAGCAGTAATTGTGATATATCTTGATTTCAGTAAGGCTTTTTTGATATTGTCTTGCATGACCTCATAAACAAACTAGGGAAATACAGCCTAGGTGGAACTAGTATAAGGTGCGTGCATACCTGGTTGGAAAACTGTTCCCAGAGAGTAGTTATCAATGGTTCACAGTCAAGCTGGAAGGGCATAACGAGTGGGGTCCCACAGGGATCAGTCCTAGGACCAGTTCTGTTCAATAGCTTCATAATTGATTTAGATAATGGCATAGAGAGTACACTTATAAAGTTTGCGGACGATACCAAGCTGGGAGGGGTTGCAAGTGCTTTGGAGGATAGGATTAACATTCAAGATGATCTGGACAAACTAGAGAAATGGTCTGAAGTAAAACAGGGAGAAATTCAATGAGGACAAATGCAAAGTACTCCACTCAGGAAGGAACAATCAATTGGACACATACAAAATGGGAACTGACTGCGGAAAGGGATCTGGGGGCTATGGTAGATCAGAAGCTAAATATGAGTGAACAGTGTAACACTGTTGCAAAAATAAAGCAAACATCATTCTGGGATGTATTAGCAGGAGTGTTGTAAGCAAGACACGAGAATTAATTCTTCTGCTCTACTCCATGTTGATTAGGCCTCAGCTGGAGTATTATGTCCAGTTCTGGGCACCACATTTCAGGAAAGATGAGGACAAATTGGAGAAAGTCCAGAGACGAGCAACAAAAATGATTAAAGGTCTAGAAAACATCACCTCTGAGGGAAAATTGAAAAAATTGGGTTTGTTTAGTCTGGAAAGTGAAGACTGAGTGGGGACACAATAACAATTTTCAAGTATATAAAAGGTTGGTACAAGGAGGAGGGAGAAAAATTGTTCTTGTTAACCTTTGAGGCTAGCATGAGAAGAAATGGGCTTAAATTGCAGCAATGGGGGCTTAGATTGGACATTAGGAAAAACTTCCTAACTGTCAGGGTGGTTAAGCACTGGAATAAATTGCGTACGGCGGTTGTGGAATCTCCATCATTGGAGGTTTTTAAGAGGACGTTAGGTAAACACCTGTCAGGAATGGTCTAGTTATTACGTAGTCCTGCCTTAAGTGCAGGGGACTGGACTAGCCGACCTATTGAGGTCCCTTCCAGTCCTACACTTGAGTGCAGATAATAAAAATGGTTCAGTATCTAGCTCTTTTCATCTGTAGGTGTCAAAGTGCTTTACCAAGGAGACTAGTATCATTATCCCCATTTTTATGCATGAGCAAACTGAGGCACAGGGCAGGATGTGCCTTACTCAAGGTCACCCAGCAGGCCAGTGGCAGAGCCTGGAATTGAACCCACGTCTCCTGAGTCCCAGCCCACTGTCCTATCCGCCAAACTATAAAAGTTAACAAGTCTGCACTGAGCTGTAAACTTTACACAGTTCTGTGTATTACAGTAGTATCTAGACACTCCAACCAAGACTCATTGCCCTTGGTGCTGCACATTCATATAGCAAAACAGTCTCCATCCTGAATAGTTCCATCTATTATTATTTATTATGTTTATTACAGTAGTGCCTAGGGACCAGAGAGAAAAGGACCCATGTGCTGGGCACTGCAGAGATCTAGAATAAGAGTCCCGGCCCTAAAAAATTTGCAATTTACATAGACAATACCAGGAAAAGAAGTATAATTATCCCTCTTTTACAGATGGAGTGCTGAGGCACAGAGAGAGTAAGTGAGACTAAATAGTAAATTTATCAGTGTTGCTAATTACCAATTAGCACACAACACCAGGGATGTGGTACATTCTTCATCACTAGGCATCTGTAAATCAAGATTGAGTGTTTTTCTAAAAGGTAACTCGAGCTCAATTACAAATTATATGGCTCAATGTGCGGGAATCACAGATGACATTCTCTAACCTATGTTATGTAAGGTAGTCAGATTGCATCATCATAGTGGTCCCTTCCAGAATTAAACTCTGAAAGTGACATGCCCAAGGTCACACAGGACATTTGGTGAAGACCCTATGACTTGAGTTCTATACCTATGCCTTAATCACAAGACTATCCTCTCAACAGTCAAGGGTCATCTTTTGCTGGAAGACCAGTTCCTGAATAATGCTGATTATTCTTCTAAGCATATTCATATTATATGTATGTAATTTATCTCCCAGGATGCCAGAGCGTGAAAGGGATTGACACGACATTGGTACGAAGAACTTCATCTGCAGTTTCCAAGATTTAGCACAAAAAAAGTGTGGCTCTGGGTAAAGCCACCCTATTCACTGTGGCCAGATTGTTCTGTTTGGGCCTCATCATGAAACCCTTACTTAGGAGAGTAGCCCTATTGGTTTATAGAGGGCTACTTCTGAAAGGTGTACATGGACCAGGTTTTCCTAAGTGCTCAGCACCCCGTACTAGCTCCTTAAAAGGAGCTGAGCACTTTTGAGAATCTGGCCCCTGGTGCGAATAAGGATGGAAAGAGTGGGCCCTAATTCTCTCCTGGTGCACACAATTGTAGTTGTTGTCCAGCTAAGCAGAAACTGCTGACTTTTCAATATGTGTACAGATGCGAAGAACTTTTCTCAGATGTTAACATGCATGTCTGGAAGTAGCTTAGATGTTAAAATGAAACTATAAACAGAAATGTTTTGATAGCAAACAACTACCAAAATATCAAAGTTTAAAGGATACCTCTTGTTCGCTGTTTATAGAAACTACACTTCAGATTGTCCGGATTAAATATTCTTTTCGTATCAACATGGCATCGTTTCCCCTAGCAACTACATTACTGTGTGTAAACAGCGTAGGCTGGGAGCTGGGTAAGTATCTTGGAGGCTTTTGAGATGCAAGGGATTGTACAGCCAATCCAGAGTTTGGAGGTTTACAGTCTTAACTGACATGAATCTCTTTGCACTTAAATTATAATAACATATGAATACTGACCATAAGCCAGATCCTCAGCTGGTATAAATCCATGTAGCCCTAGTGACTTGAACAGAACTGTGCTGACTGACACCAGCTGGAGCTCTGCTATATTTTTACTTTAAAAAAATTAACATTGGTTTAGATGATTTCTTGGACAAATTCAACTTCCCTGAAGTATAAATACTAAATAATAATAATGATGCAGTAAGTGCTGAGTATGACACCTTATATTGTCAGCCACACATCTTAAAGCATTTCACACAAGGAAGGTCTCTATCCATTATTCTCCAGATAGGGAAACTGAGGTGCAGAAAGATTATAGGTAAACTGCTAAGAAAGTAAGTAAAATTGAGTGTGTCCTCTTATTTCCATTGATGATGTATAAAGAAGGCCTGGATGTGCGTTTCTGTTTTTTTGGATTGATAATTAATTCAGGAATATTAGTGCTGACAAGTATTCATTTTGGTGGAGGTCCTCAAAATGGTGTACTGGGAATTTTTACACCTCAGAGAAAGTAGTAGGAGAGTGCTTAGATAATATGCCAACTCTCCAGCCTAGCAGCCATATATTGGCTGATATTTCACATAGGCATATAAGTGGTACTCTGCAGCCATTGGGCCAAATCACGTTCCATTTACCCAAGTCCCATTAAACTCAGTGTGGCTCCTTGCGCGAGTAAGGAGAGCAGGGTTTGACTCATCAAGGACTTTATTCAAAATCCATTGAAGTCAATGGAAAGACTCCTGTTGACTTAAATGGCCTTTGGATTGGGCCCCCAAGAGGCTAATTCTTCCAACCTTTGCTTACATAAGTAGTCCTTTTTCAAATGACTAGTCCCATTGTTCACATGAGGGCTGTAGCTATTCATGGTTTGACCTTCCAAAGCTTTACTTACGTGAGTATTTCAATAAAATAAGAACTACTTGTGTACTTGAAGGGTTGATAGCCCTTAGATCTAACACCGTCTGAGGCAGGTCCATAAGTATTATTGACGCTATTTGGTACGACAAAACTAAGACAAGGGACTTGGTCCTGTATGCCTTGAGCAAACTAGAATTCTCAGTAGAAGGGAATGGGAATTTTGCCTTGGTACAAAATATAGGAATGGGCACAGCAGTGTTAAGTGACCTCCCCAAATCCATAAAGGCAGTCGGGTTAAGAATCTAGTAGTCTCCCTCAGCCTAAACCCAAGATTGCTCTTGATATCTCACCTCTCAAGTGAACACAAAATACTAGGACTAGAGTTTTCTAAAGCAATCGCTGTTGGCCTAACTCTACTCCTTTGAAGTCAGTGGCACGGTCAGTGGGAGCGAAGGTAAATCAGTGCAGAATGCTTTGGAAAAGTCTGCCCTAGAAATCTAGCAATAAGGTTTTTTTTTAAACAGAAAGTAGGGCTCTATCCCATTGTTCTGCATTTGTTGAAGTCCCGGGGCATTTTGCCATTGATATAAATGGGTGTAGGCTCAGACCCATAGTCATTTATCTCCCATCAACCACATAGGAGTGGTGCATCTTCATCCCCCCCATCCTCCTACCCCAACTTCCCTTATGCACTATTTGAAATACCTCGCATTGAGCTTTACTCATTGAATCATTTTTTGCCAAAAGTTTGAATTTGCAAAAGGTTTTAGAATAAAATGATGGAATATTACAGCATGAACGTAAATTGGGACTTGAACTCAAAGGGTGGGGGAGGGGGGAAACAAAAGGCCACACGCTACCCTTCAGTTGTAAAATTCTTACTCGTATTTACTGCCGAGTGTATTATGTTGCATGACGGTTGCATAGCAACAAAATAAAGTTTATCTGTTTAAGGAAATATGTTTCTCAGAGCATAAGGAAGCATAATTTCTACTGTTTACTGCACTTATCATATGTGTTGCAATGTGGACTGTGTCAGATGTCAATTACAGAGCAATTTCAGAAAGACTGTTTATTTTAGATAATATAAATGTTACTCAAAAGATAGGGGCATAGTATCTTATGTTTACATGTTTAAGATCTATTTCTAAAGTTTAGAAGATGCAGTTTCCTGTCCTTAACCCAGCTTAATTTGAGGAAGGTTCCATAGTGTTGTGGCCCAGAGTAAATTTTGATGGTGAGGAAATAGACTTTATTTATTGGGTTTAATTAACCATTTCTAAGTTACTGCTCCTGTGGGATAATGAACTTGCTCTGCTTATCTCCAAACTGACTGACTCTCCAAGTTCAAAGCTGATAAGCCCTCTTCATAAAGAGTGATTTCAGAGCCAAATGCTGCAGGATGAAGTTAATGCATTTGCCTTAAATCTTTCCTTTTTAAAAAAAAAACTTTCATGGTGAAGTGGAATTTCCCTGGATCTTGTGACAGACTAACAACATTGTTTGTGAAAATTAATGTGAAAAGACAGGAGTTTTGTATCTGATTTTTGATTATGGGGTGGGAAAGCAGGGGTTGGCTCAACAGATCGCAGAGGAGCACACAGATTCATAAAAACCCACACAAATCACCCCAGTCCCGTCCAACCAAAGTAAAAACAACTTTCATTGCATACCCAATTTCCCCCCTGGGGCTAGGATGAGTGAGAATGAGCCACATGTGACAGATGTTAGTGTGAGAGAATGTACCCCTGTATTCACAACTTACACACTATTGTAATAATCTTTGTACAAAGTATGCCATGTAAGGTATCATTTGAAAATTTGTAGTTTACTGATCAGTATCATCCTGATAAAATGTGTGATATCGTATGTTATGGTTAGATTTCCCTGTATGATGATGATAACGTATGCTCCAAACCACAGCCCTAACCAAGCAGAAGTTGGCAGACAGGTCTGTTTCAAACAAAGGTATGTGTGCTCTGCTTGATTTGCATTTAAGCAGTAAACAGAGTCATCAAGCAGGAAGGGAAACCTGTGGGGAAGAAGCAGCAGGGAACATCCCTCCTCATAGACTTTTTGTCTCCTGGTACCAAAGAGGAGTATTGAAACTATAAACGGGGAGGGACAAACACCCCAAGGCACCCATCTCTCTCCCCCTGCCCATATTATTCTCTACATCTGAAGTAACAAAGGAAGCCTTCATTGGATTCTGGAAGAGAAGAGGTCCTGATTTATAGGGTTTGGTCAGTAAGACTGTTGAACACATATGGTGAGAAATTTTGCTTAAATCTGATACAGTTTAAGTTAGGCACTCATGGCATTTTAACTTTATTTCCTTCTAACCATTTCTGACTTTCATGCCTTGTTTCTTGTGTTCTCTTAAAAATCTCTTTCTTTGTAGTTAATAAACTTGTCTTATCTAACCCAGTGTGCTTAAATTGAAGTATTTGGGAAACTTCATTCGGGTGGCAAGTTTTGTGCATATTATTTCTATTCAAGGAATAATGGACTTAATAGAAACTTGTATTGCCCTAGATAGAGCTGGGCATTGTAGGCAGGACCTACATTTCTTGCGGAAAATCTAAGACTGGGGATGTGTTGGGTCCCCTGCAGTATAACCAAGGCTAGTAAGAGCCAAGGTTTGGCTGGCTGGCTGCAGCACCCACACAGACATAGCTGGGAGTAACTTGCACGCTGGAGGCTGTTTGTGAGCAGTCCAGGTGGGAAGTGTTGTAAAGGGCACCCCAGGTCAGAGGGCAGGGGTGACACAGCTATGTATTAGTCGGGATTATACCCTGGTATGTCACAGTTATTCATGTCACTTAATGCATGATGATGACGATGGGATAGGACGCTGTATAGAATAGAATAGGTCTTCGGCTGATAAGTTCAGTTGTTTAAGTAGGGAAAACAGAGGTAATTGGCAGTGTTGCCCCAAAACCAAAAAGCACAGAGGAGGATGTAAATGTGCATCCTTGCCTCTAGGGTGCCCCTTCACACCTGGGCATGCAGCACTGCATAGGACTTCGCCTCTTGTGCACAACACCGTGGCCAGTCCTTTGGCCAGCAATAGCTTTTCTCAGTCTGCATCTTCTCCCCCTCCAGGTGTTCCATGGGCCTTCTTGTCAAGTCACAGAAAAGTCTAAGCCCCTTCTGGGATAGCATGAACAAGTCCAAATAAGGATTCAAACGAGTCTTTAAATTAATAGCCCTTCTACGCCTCTTGGGCTTCAGTACAGTTCCCTTATTGTATCCTACCAGTTAAGCCTTAGTCTAGGACCTTCTCCCGCAGGACCTGTCTCTTCTGCAGTCGCTCCCTCAACATCTTATACAGCCTAGCTTTGGCCAGGAGGCAATTAGATAATCACCTCCCATGTGTGAAGCATAATTAATTAGGTTCTTTCCCTTGTGTTACAGGTGATGGGGATTAAGCCCATCACAGAGGGTGATAATCATCAACAGAAGGCACAGCAGTTGTAGCAAAGCAAAAAGCATACTGGATATTTCACCCTCCAAATTGTATTCTGTGGACAAGGAGGTAAAGGAAAAGTGAGGGAGAATTAGGGGATTCCAAAATCTTGACAACTTTTCTGAAGAATTCAAGTAACTAATCTGAGCCTTTGAGATGGAGGATTGGGCCAGTAGATGTCAGGAGACCCTAGAGGTTGTTGGTACTATCCGAACCAAACAGTGTGACTTAGGGGGGTGGTTCTGCAAACAAAATACATTTGCTTTTGTTCCAATGATAACTTTTTCCAAAATGTGTCTTGACAAGGCTACTGCCCTAACAATCATGTATCATTTTCTTTTTGCGAATCATGTATCATTGAGAGGCATTTCTTGGGTTTTGTGTACTCGGAGTTTTCATGTGAATTTATTACTTGTGGAAGGTGCTGGATTGATAGCCCCAGGAACTGAAATCCTTATTTCATCTAGGACCTGATGCAAAGCCCAGTCAAATCAACAGATTTTCAGTTTATTTCAACGGACTTTGGACCAGGCCCTTACAGATCAGGAATAGCATAGACAGAAGGCACATTAGCTTCTTCATACCATGTACCTCAACCCAATCCTGGAGACATAACCCACTGGGTTGTATTTGATTTGTCCCCTTCAGTCCATTCCAAATTCAGCCCCTAAACACATCTTCCTGGCATGACCATCTGATAATGTCTCCCCCTCTTTTAATGCCTTCACTGGCTCCACTTCTGCTATTGCATCACATTTAAGCTTCTTGTCAGTGCCTTCAAACTCTGCCTGTCCGTCCTTCATCTTGTCACCCATGCCCTCTGCTCCACCAACGCTCCTGACTGGTCTGCTCGTTTTTGTTTTGCAACATCATCTTCATGCCTCCTTCCAGCTGATCTCCTCTACGTGGTATAACTTCACTATTGTCTATCTGTCCTTAGACTGTGAACTCCTTGGAGCAAGGAACTGTTCCTTCTTGAATGTTTGGAAAGAGCATCTAGCGGGTGCTACAGCAGGTAAATTATAGTAGTAATCTGACAATCAGGAGCTGAAAGGGTGTTACAGGGAGCTTCCAGCCCACCAGACCTTTGTTTGTGACCTTCAGCTCTCCTCTGGTATCTGGTGTATTTTATTTTATTTTTACTTGTGGGCAAACCAAACAGAATTGCTCTGGCGAGCCATGTGTTACCTTTTCGCAAGCTCGGCTGGTGGGGAGAGTGCCAGTTATGGGTGAAACTTGTCTGTCTTATTGAGAATTTCCTAACATTAATAAACAGACACTTAGAGTAACTCACTTTGATAAAAGAACAGTGTAGGTCCTGATGCTATTGAATATGCAGAAGACTCAGAGATGAAACAAACCTAGGGAAGTAGGCGCTGTGTTTTTTGGCTTCCTGAATGGTTTTCAGCCCCAAATCAAATCCTAAGAGCATGGGAAAAGCTGCCTTCTGAAGTTGTGATGGTGTGCTGAACCTCACTGTAAGGCTCTGTCTTATAAAACTACTTTTGATGTGGACATTTGGCTCCAACTCACACTGAAGGCCATTGTAAGTAACCACTGACTTACAGGACACAGAGAAGTTGGTGTCCTTGAACACTCCTAGAAAGTAGATTTAAAGTTTTTGGGCCAGCCCCTCAGCTGGTATAAATTGGTGTCACTCCAAATAGACTTTGTCAATCTACACCGATTTACAGCAGCTGGGCTCTGGCTGCTGTACTGCAAGATGTCACTGCTTTCAAATTCTATCACAGTGGATTGAGCAAAATTGTTTTGAAAGCAGGTTTGCCAATCCAGATTTAGATTCTAATGAAATGGCACTGTAATTATTTCATGATGCATACATGCTCCATTTTGTTTTCATTTTGCTATGCTTCTGTTTATCTTATTTCCTGCCAAACAGTGGGAGAATACCACATGTGTTACACAAAGAATTTCTCAGTGTAGCAAAACTTTTCCTCCAGATGCAAACTGGCTTTGTCACAGTTTAGCATCTTCATTTTCAAAGGCATTGCATTTTATAGATTTCAAGGGACAGTGCTTAAACGGTTAATACAAACAGCAAGTGGTCAACTCCTTGGCTTACTTGGAGACATGTCTCTTGCAAAATGTTGACAGGTTGAAAACTATGGAACTGAATTTGTAATGTACCTGACTTTGGTTTTATGAAGCCCACACCCCATCCTGATGTTGCCCATCTAGAGTAAACAGCTGCCATTTGAGCTTTCAGAATAGCATTTGTTCAATAGAACCCTCCCGGTAGGGGCATAGAACATTCTTTAACAAAGGTTTGCAAACTGAGGGCCCATCTTGGAAACCCTCATTCCCTTGATAAGGGAGTGCAGGAACAGGCTATAAAGACACAAATCGGTGCAGAGAATTTCAGTTTTTAACTTTCCTTGTTTAAAATAAAATAGCAATAATAGTTCCAGCAGCATTATCATGCTAACTGTGGGCTGAGTGTGGGGTGGGAGAGAGGTGTATTTGGGG